GGTAGGTCGTGGTGGGGAAAGACCCTTATGGGAAAAGAAGTTAGGTGACTATGGTATTAGACCAGGCAGGAGCTAATGAGCATATAAACTAGTTAGTGCCAGGGGGAAGAGATATGAGAGAGTGCATGTTGGCTACTGATTGAATGTGTGAGTGAAAGAAAAGAACCTCACACATTCAGTCATACCTGAGGTTTTAAATCCCAAGTACCTGGAAGAGTAGTGTGTTGGTAGGAGAAACAAAAATGTCAAAAGGAGCATATTTTGAGGAGATGATGCTTGAGTTTTTAAGTCTGTTGAGTCAGAGATGCAGAAGGCGTTCTGGGTGGCTTAATGAATGTATTCTTCATGGGCTTCTTTAAATAACAAATTATCTTCCATTATACACATTATCATGTTCTGACCACAGGCACACAGAGTAATGGGAGATGGATATCCTATTTCTATATTAAATATTTCTGTGTACGTACCTCTTCTATAGCTTTCATATTGTGTTTTATTCATAAGCCTATTTCTGACTGGATGGAGCTGTTGGAGGGCAAGGACAGTGTATTATTTGTCTTTGTTGTAGATTGCCAGGCATATTGAAGACATGCAGGAAAAGTCTGAATTAATGAATGAATTAATGGCTCACAATACAAAGGTCTTTTTTTTTTTTTAAGATTTTATTTATTTATTTGACAGAGATCACAAGTATCTCTACCTCAGAGAGGCAGGCAGAGAGAGAGAGGAGGAAGCAGGCTCTCCGCTGAGCAGAGAGCCCGACATGGGGCTCGATCCCAGGACCCGGGGACCATGACCTGAGCTGAAGGCAGAGGCCTTAACCCACTGAGCCACCCAGCGCCCCACTACATAGGTCTTTGAACAAGTAATTATCTTGTTAGAAGACTTGACTCTTGTAGTTCTTAAAAGTTTTATCAACACAGTCATGATTCTTCCACCTCTCCATAATATGGGCTCAAGTAGGTTTTGGGATAGGCCCCAGATTAAATCCTAATGCTATCAATTTACCATCTCCTCTTTTTAATTCATTTAACCATAAAATTCACCCTTTTGAAATGTTATAATTCATTTGTTTTTAGTGTTTTCACAAGGTTGTGTAACTATTACCACTATTTAATTCCAAAATATTTTCATCACCACAAAAAAGAGACCCCCTAACTCATAGCCATTAGTAGTCGCTCCCCTAGTCCCTCTTTTCCCAGCCCCTGCCAACTACTAATCTATTGAACTTATTTTTATTCAAGGGAAATAAATTAAAATGATCTAAATCTATAACTGATTTCTAATAATAATGCCCTTCAGAAATAGGCTAAAAGGAGGCATTAATTGATCTTTCTCCTTGTAGGAAAGAGTACCAGAAAAGAATACCATGGGACAAACAGTGAACGAAGGTAAGATTTACTTTCTAAACATGATGATATTTTTAGTTATTCATTTGGGATGAGTACCTTCTGCTAGACTGAACTTTTGAAAAAGAAGTCCTTTTAGAAATAAAGTCATAGGAGGCGCCTGGGTGGCTTAGTAGGTTAAGGCCTCTGCCTTCCACTCAGGTCATGATCCCAGGGTGCTGGGATCAAGCTCCCCATCAGGCTCTCTGCTCAGTAGGGAGCCTGCCCCCCACCGCCTGCCTCTCTGCCTACTTGTCATCTCTCTCTGTCAAATAAATAAATAAAATCTTGAAAAAAAAAAAAAGAAATAAAGTTATAGGAGATGTTAGGTGCTTACAATTGGAATTTCAGAACTGAGTAGCTATTAAAGATAATTTTGTTTTTCCTTCCTAGTTTTTTTTTATAAGATTTTATTTATTCATTTGGCAGAGAGAGAGACAGAGACACAGAGAGAGAGAACAGCAGGGGGAACAGCAGAGGGAGAGGGAGAAGCAGGCTCCTCACTGAGCAGGGAGCCCTATTCGGGGCTTGATCCCAGGACCCTGGGATCATGACCTGAGCCGAATGCAGATGCTTAACCGACTGAGCCACCCAGGTGCCCCTTCTTCCCAGTTTTATAAGTGAGAAAACTTACACTCAGGGATTTTAAGTGAACAGGTCATACAACAATCTGTGACAGAGTCAAAATCAGAATCCATATATTCTAACTTTAATACGATTGGTTAAAAAATGCTTCATCCTGGGGGCCTGGGGGCCTGGGTGGCTTAGCTGGTTAAGCGACTGACTTTTTTTTTTTTTTTTTTTTTTTTAGAGAGAGAGGCAGAGAGAACAAAAGCTGGGGAAGGGTCAGAGAGAGAGGGAGAAGCAGACTCTTTGCTGAGCAGGGAGCCCGATGTGGGGCTCGATCCCAGGACCTGGAGATCATGACCTGAGCCAAAGGTAGATGCTCAACTATCTGAGCCACCCAGGTGCCCCAAGCGACTGACTCTTGATTTTGGCTCAGGGCACAATCTCAGGGTCATGAGATTGAGCCCCATCTTGGGCTCCGTGCCACGCATGGAACCTGCTTAAGATTCACTCTCTCCCCCTGCCTTTGTGCCTCCCCAATAAACAAGCAAACAAACAAATAAATTTTTAAAAAATGCTTTGTCTTGTCTTGCTTTAGTGAGAAGTCTGCTCACCCTGCCTTGAATATACCACACTCATTTTCACTCTCTCTTTTGTGTCGTGTAGTTGACCTTTGAACAACATGAGTTTGAATTGCATGGATCCACTTAATATGTGGGTTTTTTTCGTATAAATATGTTAGGAAACTTTTTGGAGATTTGTGATATTTTGAAAAAACTCCCAAGTGAACCATTTCTAGATTATTAGTAGTTAAGATTTTGGGGAATCAAAAGTTATTTGTGGATTTTCGACTGTAGGTAATAGGTACCCCTAACCTCCATGTTACTCAAGGGTCAACTGTATTTTCTTTTCTATAATACATCCTGCACACCTTTGCCATCCTAAATCCTGTTCTTCCTTCAAGACCCAGTTCAAGTCCTGTGTCTCTTATCAGCTTTTCTGTGGCTGACTGCTAAATGTTGTCCTCTGCTATTCCCAGTTTTGTCAAGTGTTTAGTTTAGTGTAGTCTCTAACTAGATTCTCAGCTTCTCAAGAGCAGGAACCATGCCTTTGCAGTTTAACTTTCTCTCCTATTAGAAAGTCTTGCTGTAGAACTATTTAGTAAATACAACTCTGTACTTTCTTTGTACATTTAATTTTTGTACATTAATTTTATACATTTAAACTTTGTACATTCAAATCATTTAAATAGAAAGCACATTATATATCCATCTTAAATGTTCATACATCTTGAAGAGGCGCACTGAGTCATAACCAGAAAGTAGATCTGTTACCTTAAATTGTATACCTGGTATCATTCATAGATCCTTCTTTGAGAAGCTTGTCGTTTGACAATTTGGGCATCAGTAAGAGAAAACAGTGATAGATTGGCAACACATTAAGTATGGTTAAATTCATGAGCTCATGTTTGAGCAAAACAAAACCCACTGGTCATCTGTGGAGAATGCTTGGGATCCAGCTAATTATTTTGAAAATTAGAAAGTAAAGGAAAGAAAAGAAGTGTTGCTTGTGACTTTCCTATGTGATATGTGCCTCAGGTAATTGAATATTTAAAGAGGAGAGGTTTCTTTCTATTCAAGTTTACTGGCTAATAAAGACAGGATAATAAAATTAGAATATCTCCATTTTGTAACCATTAATGAACTAATGGGTCCAGGCAAAAGCCATCTGTGGCTGTTTAGATCACAAAAAGAAAGAGAGCTAGATATTAGGAGCCTCTTGTGAGAAGTACACACCACCACCTGTGAAGTCACCTTCTTCTCTCCACAATAAAGCCAAACCTGAATCTGATTAAGCTCTTCTGAATCAAAATACTAGTACTGTCTATCTAGCTAGCTTTCTGTTTAAGATTTTATTTATTTGTCAGATAGAGAGAGCACAAGCAGGGGGAGTAGTAGGCAGAGGTAGGGGGAGAAGCAGGCTCCCCACAGAGCAAGGAGCCCAATGTGGGACTCAGTCCCAGGAGCCTGGAATCATGACCTGAGCTGAAGGTAGACGCTTAACTGACTGAGCCACCCAGGTGCCCCACTAATACATTATATTTAGAGAAAAGATAAGGACCAGAAGAACCTGCACTACAGGAGCTAGTCAGCGCAATCCAGACTGTAAAACTAAACTGATACCATGAGCAAAAAAAATTCCCAGAGGAAGAGGGGGGAAAAAAGAGGAGGAAGAGGAGCCTATAAGTATCAAAAGAGACTTAAGACATTTATTAGCCAGTTCTATATATGGACTTTATTTGGGTCCGATTCAAAGAGACATACTTAAGACATTTGAGGAAATATGAACACTGACTGCTTATTTGATGTTATTAAGGAATTATGGTTAATTTTTTTCAGTATAATAGTATTATGATTAATTTAAAAAAATTAGTCCTTTAAGATTTGTAAAGTCACAAGGTCTAGTGCTGTTGGAGCTCCTCAGCTTGGCACAGAGAAAAATCTCTGCCTAGTCTATTGAATTACATCATATTCAAGTTTCCCTCTTATGTTTTAAACTCTTAAAAACATGCAGTTTATTTCTAGGGTATCTTAATTCTTTTTTTTTTTTTTAATTTTAGAGATGAGGTAGAGGAGGTTATGCTCCCTTTTGGAGCTTCCATTTGAGTCGAATGAGACATAAAATAAACAAAATAAATGATCAAATTGTAGGATACACAGTATGTTAGAAAGTGAAATCCTATGCAGAAATGAGGATATTAATTATAAAATTAAAACTGGGTCCTGTTAGAAAGTAGTTTTAGTTTATAGGTTTTATAGGACAGAGGGAAAGAATCTCAAGCAGACTCCCTGCTGAGCACAGAACCTGATGCAGGGTTCGACTCCATGACCCGTGAGATCATGACCTGAGCCAAAACCAAGAGTATGACACTCACCCGACTGAGCCACCCAGGCACCCTAATTTATAGGTTTCCTGAGAGCTCTTTTAGACTTTTGCTATGGCCCTCCAATGTTGCTCACTATTTTCTTTCATTTTTTAGATTCAATGGATGTCAAGAAGGAAAATCAAGAGAAACCTCCTCACTCAGGTACTTCTTCTGTACAAAATGGTAGGTTTTAAAGTAGTTCAGTACAATATATTTTTCTTTTCACTCACTGTTAATATGAACTCATCTTGCTTTCGGTATAGTCTATGTATAGAAAACTCCTGTAAATATAAAACCTGAGCAATAGGAAAGGTAAAAGATTTTTATTTTGAAAATTTTACTTTGGCTTTATTTTAGACATGAATTGGTATGGAATTAAAGTAAAAAAAAATCATACATTTCAGTATAATTTTTGCCAAATTAAAGATACCTAGCTAGTAATTACCATTTATTAACAATTAAAAATGATACTTTGATTATTAATAGAAGCTCTTCTAGTATTAGAATCAGTGTGAAAATCCTTTTTTTGATGGTCAAAAGGTAGTTCATTGGATAAAAGCTTAGGCATTGGGAGGTCTGAGAGACCTGTTTTAGAATCCTGACCTCATTTTTTACTGGCCTTTTGACCTTGGCAAATTACTCAATGTTCTTAGTCTCTTTTTCCTTTTCTGTAGCACAGGGATGATGCTACTTACTTCATGGGACTGTTGGAATTAAATAAAGAAAATGAATGTAAAGCACCTAATATAATGCCTGGCATACAGTAAATTTTCAGTAAATGCTTATTAACCTTTAGTTATTAATTCATGTTTTAAATTTCATATCATGTACAGCAAGTGTATAGCACTGCATCAGAGACTCAGAACGTAGGATCTGACCCATTGTACCTGCTCTTTTTTTTTTTTTAAAGATTTTATTTATTTATTTGACAAAGAAGGAGACAGCAAGAGAAGGAATACAAGCAGGGGGAGTGGGAGAGGGAGAAGTAGGCTTCCTGCTGAGCAGGGAGCCCAACTTGGGGCTCAGTCCCAGGACCCTGGGATCATGACCCGAGATGAAGGCAGATGCTTAATGACTGAGCCACCCAGGCATCCCACTGTACCTGCTCTTAAGGAAAACAAAAAAAATTAGTCATATGCAAACAAAAAGCTGAATAAAAAAAATAACTGTAACAAATTTACTGTGTTTATTGGAGTTTTCCAGGCAAACCTTTGCCCCTTGTTTTTCTGTTGTACCTGTCCTGCCAGCCCCACTCTTGGGGTAGTTCACCTTCTGTTTCTACAGGAAGGTTGCCTGGAGAGGTGATCTGCATGGAATCACTCTTTCTCACTGTGGCTGGACCCCCAGTGCTTCCTTAGCTCCCTTTTCCATTGACCTTATTTGTTCTTCAGTAATTCCCTCCAACCCCCAAAACCCTCCAAGGAAATGGAGCCATTAAGTTAAAATGTTCTTCCTTATCCCTACAGATTCTCCATCTGTTTTTTTTTTTAAATAATTTTATTGAGCCATAATTCACATACCATAGAATTCACCCATTTAAAGTATACAATTCATTGATTCTTGGTATCTTCACAGACTTGTGCAGTTATCACCACAATCAGTTTGAGAACATTTTCATCATCCTAAAAAGAAATCCTGTGCCCAGTTAGTATTCATTCCCTGTTTTTCCCCAATACCTTTTCCTTCTCTTAGCTCAAGGCAACTGCTTACCTACTTTCTATCTCTATAGATTTGCTATTCTGGACCTTTCATAAAAATAAAGTTTAAAAAATACATTCTTAAAGATTAAAACTAGAAACTTTTCAAAATTCTCAAACTTGATTGGAAAAAAAATGAGATTACTTAATCAAATTGACAGATACCTGTGGATATTTCTCAGGGCCCTGACCCTAACATCTCATCTTACAGATCAGTGACAGTTGGAAGTGTACACGTGTACACCTGTCTCATGAACAAACCTGTCAGTTGCCAGGCCTCTTTTCTGAGGGAGAATAACGTTCCTCTGATCCAGTCTGTCCATTAGGATAAGATGCAGAGGCAGACTGGGTCCTCAGGTTTGGGTAAGACTTTCTGACGATTTTGGCTCTGGGTCAAGAATTCCAGCTGTGGTATTATGGAAGATATGTCAATCTAAATTTCAGTGAACCTAAATCTAAGTAAAGCCTGTTGCTATGTGTGTTTCCCCTGTGTTATTGGTAGGGCCTCAGCACATGGGCAGCCAAACTGAGCAGTTTTGGGGACTGAAAATACTGCCTTAAGAATAAAGAAAAAAGTTAAAGGCTACATAGGATTATTAGCTAGCAATGTGATAGAAAATGGTCATATTGCAGAATACTCGTGTAAAGGATTTGCTAGCTCAAACTGTAGCCCATTCAGACACAATTAGTGATAAAATATTTAGGAAATTGTGTTATGAATTTTTTTCCAGTGTCATTGAGAAATTTTACAAATGCAGCTGGTTTATTTGAGGTATTATTGTGAAATAATTTTAGTTTCCCTGTCATTATCTTTACCTTACACTCCTTTCTTCCTGGAATGTTGGCTCTTTAATGATATCATAGATTTCCTCCTCCATTTGTTTTTTTTTTTAAAGATTCATTTATTTGAGAGAGAGAAAGATGAGCAGGGGGAGGGGCAGAAGGAGAGGGAGAGAGAGAATCCTTATGCAGACTCCCCACTAAGTGTGGAGCCCAACGTGGGGCTTGATCCCACAACTCCGATCATGACCTGAGCTGAAATCCAGCGTCAAGAGCTTAACTGACTGAGCCACCCAGGCACCCCTGTTTTAAAAAAAATATATATATATATTTTGTTTGAGAGAGAGAGTGTGAGCGGGGATAGGGGCAGAGAGAGAGGGAGAGAATCCCAAGCAAGACTCCGTGCTGAGCATGGAGCCCAATGCAGGGCTTGATTCCATGACCGCGAGGTCATAACCTGAGCCGAAACCAAGAGTCCGATGCTTAACCAACTGAGCCATCCAGGTGCCCCTGTTTTGTTCTTTCTTTAATACTTTCCAAGGTCATATGATAGTAGAGCTTTAGTTAGAACCTTGGGTTTCCGATTGTCAGGTTAGTGCTTAGGATGTCACTGAAATATTCTGGTTAGTTAATTTTGGAACCATGGATCTCCATTTTCACTATTTTATTTTATTTATTTTAAATATTTTATTTATTTATTTGAGAGAGGGTGAGAGCTAGAGAGAGAGAGAGAGAGCACACACAGAGGGAAAGGGAGCAAAAGAAGCAGACTCCCTGTTGAGCAGGAAGCCTGATGTAGAGCTTAGTCCCAGGACTGGGATTATGACCTGAGCCAAAGGCGGATGCTTAACCATCTGAGCCACCCAGGTGCCCCACATTTTTCCCTTAAAAAAAAAAACAACCTATGTATATATATATAAAATATGATTTTATTTATTTATTTGAGAGAGAGCAAGCGGGTGAGAGAGAGAGCACAAGCCGGGGGAGAGGAGCAGAGGGACAGGGAGAAGCAGATCACTCACTGATCAGGGACCCCTGATTTGAGATCATGTTCTGAGCTGAAGGAAGACACTTAACCGACTAAGCCACCCAGGCACCCCAGTTTTCACTTTTGACAAAGTTATCCAGTATTAATAAATTTAGGCACAACTATGACATTTAGTTTTAGAATAATAATGCTCGCCTTTTACTCAGGGACATATGTATGCTACATCAGTTAATTCTCAAAATACCTTGTACTGTATGTATTACTTTTCCGCATTTTGTAGATGAAGGAACTGAGGCTGAGAAACTGAAATGAATTTCTTAGGTCACATAGCTTGTAAGAAGAAGAGCCAGACTGGAAAAAGGCAGGTTCAACCTCAGAGCCCATATTCTTGACATTCTTCTGCATGCCATTCAGCACTTCTTATCATCTATAAGCAGAATTAAACCCAGTATTTTTTTAAAAATGGAACAATCTTGGGGTGCCTGGGTGGCTCAGTGGGTTAAAGCCTCTGCCTTCGGCTCCATTCATGATCCCAGGGTCCTGGGATCGAGTCCTGCATTGGGCTTTCTGCTCAGCGGGGAGCCTGCTTGCTTCTCTCTCTGCCTGCCTCTCTGCCTCCTTGTGATCTCTGTCCAATAAATAAATAAATAAAATCTTTAAAAAAATAAACAAATGGAACAATCTATTATATTTATTGTTAAAAAAAAGCAGGGTATAGGGGCGCCTGGGTGGCTCAGTGGGTTAAAGCCTCTGCCTTTGGCTCAGGTCATGATTCCAGGATCCTGGGATCGAGCCCCGCATGGGGCTCTCTCCTCGGCAGGGAGCCTGCTTCCTCCTCTCTCTCTCTCTCTGCCTGCCTCTCTGCCTACTTGTGATCTCTGTCTGTCAAAATAAATCAATAAAATCTTTAAAAAAAAAAAGCAGGGTATATAGTATTATGTATGACATGCTTAATACCATGTGTAATATGTGTACATACATATATAAATTCATAAACACACATAACAGTGGTTTGCTGAAGCCGGCTCACACCAGCTCAGGAGAGCTACTTGTGCACATCTCTTCCCAGCTTTGTAGTTGTCGACTTTACTTTTTCACCTTCTGATGAGCCATGGTGGTAGTATTTATACCATAGAAATCTGTAAACACTACCAGTCAGGCTTTTTATTTGTATATTCTGGAAAGCTGGCTGTTAAACATTTAATAGCACTCCATTTGTGTGTATGTGTGTATAAGTATTCTACCCTTTGAAGGGTGTATAAGATGCTGGTTATGCAGATTCCCCAGGAAGGGAAACTGTCAAACCCAGTATTTTTATAGTAAGGAAATTAATCAAGAGCATAGGTGGTTGATGAGAATTCAACTCCGTATGAATTGTGGGGTGCCTGGGTGGCTCAGTTGGTTAAGTGTCTGACTCTTGATTTCGGCTCTGGTCATGATCTTGGGGTCTTGGGATCGAGCCCCGAGTGGGCTCCGCACTCAGCCGGGAGTCTGCTTCTGTCTCCCCTCTGCCTCTCCTTGCACACAAACCTGCATGCATGCGCACACGCACTTTCTACCTCTCTAAAATAAATAAATAAATCTTTAAAAAATAAACAAAAAAAACTTTGAATTAATGGTACTTTTGATACTGCTATCAAGTATTTTTCTCAGTGTCTTAGCAGTCTGACTGGAACAACAATTGAAGAGTGCAAGCCAGGCAAAGTATACTGCTTTATGACCTTCAATACCATTGTAATACATCATGAAGACTGAGTGAGAGAAGGGACAGCAAGTGTTGGTAGAACATATAGATCATTAAAATAATTCATATCAGTGACTGTACTGAAGGCTGGTTTACTGCTTTGTTCTGCCACCATATTCTTGATACCATGTATGGAGATCTAAAAGTCAATTGAGAGGCAACTCTGGTTCCCAGATTTTTTTCTTTCCATAAAGCATTGCAGAGGTAAGATTCTGTTAGACCCCATACCTAAACACCTTTAGTTCTCCATGAAAAAAGAAAGAAGTGTCTTTATATTAATGGGATAAAATGTTCTTGAGTATACACACGTCTTTTTTTTTTTTTTAAGATTTTATTTATTTATTTGACAGAGAGAGAGAGACAGCGAGAGAGGGAACATAAGCAGGGGGAATGTCAGAGGAAGAAGCAGGCTTCCCGCTGAGCAGGGAGCCCGATGCAGGGCTCGATCCCAGGACCCTGGGATGGAGCCCGATGCAGGGCTCGATCCCAGGACCCTGGGATGGAGCCCGATGCAGGGCTCGATCCCAGGACCCTGGGATCATGACCTGAGCTGAAGGCAGATGCTTAACAGCTGAACCACCAGGCGCCCCACACATGTATTGAGTAAATTTATATTAGAGACAGATAAGTAGAATTTGCTATTACTCGATAAAAAATTCTTTAGCTGTTCTTAGAGTCTGCATTTTTAATATTTTTTTAAAGATTTTATTTATTTATTTGACAGCAGAGATCACAAGTAGGTATAGAGGCAGGCAGAGAGAGAGAGAGAGGAGGAAGCAGGCTCCCTGCTGAGCAGAGAGCCCAATGCGGGACTCGATCCCAGGACCCTGAGATCATGACCTGAGCCGAAGGCAGAGGCTTAACCCATTGAGCCACCCAGGTGCCCCAGAGTCTGCATTTTTAGAATAATTGTGCTAATTCCTCATTACAGGGAGAAGATCTGGAGTATAATTGTATCAGAGCCATTATTATCAGAAAGTTGTCTTATTTTTTAATTTCTATGCTGATAATTAAATGCAGATCAGGAAATTTGAATCCGCTCTTTAGGAAGTCTTTATTTATTTATTTATTATTATTTTTAAAGATTTTATTTATTTATTTGACAGACAGATCACAAGTAGGCAGAGAGGCAGGCAGAGAGGGAGAAGCAGGCTCCCCGCTGAGCAGAGAGCCCGATGCGGGGCTCAATCCCAGGACCCTGAGATCACGACCTGAGCCTAAGGCAGAGGCTTAACCCACTGAGCCACCCAGGCACCCCTAGGAAGTCTTTTTTTAAAAGAGATAAGGAACTAAAGCCCCATTTTACCCCTGATAGTTAGTATACATATTATATATACTAAAAAACCCCCTATTTTGTATATGTGTTCTTTTTTTTTCCAGATGATTTCCACTGGGAAAATTACTTGAAAGAGACTGGATCTTTGAGTGCCCCTTCGGAGTGTTTCAGACAGGTATGCCAAAATTCTATAGATGTTGTATATATTAATGTGAACGGTTGATTTGTTGAGGGATGTCTGTGTGATTGTTAGGTTCTAGCAGTGTGAGGAGATAATGGGATTGTGGTAGTGCCACTTAAGGGCCAGATGGTTTCTTTGCATTCATTCATTAAGAATTTACTCTATGTCTGGTATACTTAACCTTTGTGATTGTCCATCTGGAGGGAAAGACAGACATGTAAATAATTAATTATGAAAAGTATGATAACTCTATACTGGGAGTGCTCACAGAAGAGGTGACATCTGAGATGGCTGGAATGAGGGGAAGGATATTCCAGGCAGAGAGAACATCCAAAGCAAAGGCACATAGGTGTAGAAGAATATGAGTGTTGAGGGATAGCGTGAAGCACAAAGTGGGTAGAGGTGATAGTGAGGACTTGGACTTAGGCAGTGGTGAGCTGCCAGTTGGTCTTTTCAAAGGGGAATGGCCTAATCAGGTTCTTATTTTAGAAAGCTACTCAAGGTACATTTTATAGGCTGTATTTGGGTTGCCTGGAAGTGGGCAAAGGAATAAGATCAGAACGGGCAGTGTTTTTATGCCCATAAAAAGAGAGGGTTTGGAGATCTTTTCCTTGACCTTTATAGTTCTTTTGCTCACCATCTGCTATGACTGTTACTTAAAACATTTCACAGTTTTCTGGTAACATAACTGACTGTTTGTTTTTCTTACAGTTGATGCATTTTAACAAAACTTTATTTGTGTGTGTGTGCGTGTGTGTGTCTATACACACATGCATACACATATCTGTAACATATACAGTCCAAGGTTCCACCAGCTAATGACTTCAAAGTTGGTATGAAATTGGAAGCCCATGACCCTCGCAATATGACTTCAATATGTATAGCCACGGTCGTTGGAATTACTGGTGCCAGACTACGTTTAAGACTGGACGGTAGTGACAACAGAAATGATTTTTGGAGACTTGTCGATTCTCCAGACATACAGCCTATTGGGACATGTGAAAAGGAAGGGGACTTACTTCAGCCTCCACTGGGTAAGGATAAACAGTTTTTAAAATAACATATTCTTACTAATGTAATATTCAGTAGAAAAAGTTTCAAGTGGCCTTTCATTTATTTTGAAGATTTTATTTTTTTTAAGATTCTATTATTTATTTGAGAGAGAGAGAGAGTGTATGAGCAGGGGGAAGGGCAGAGGGGGAGGAAGCTCTACACTGAGCACCGAACCCCATGTGGGGCTTGATCTCATGACCCAAAATCAGGACCTGAGCCGAAATCAAGAGTCAGCTGCTTAACCAACTGAGCCACCCAGGCACCCCAGATTGGATTTTTAAGTAATCTTTATACCTAGCATGGGACTCGAACTCAAGACCCCAGGATCAGTTTGCATGCTGTATGGACCAAGCCAGCTGGATGTCCTGAAGTAGCCTTTTAGAAATCTCTTCTAGGCATTTTTGCAAATAGATGGTTATTGTGGAGAATGTATGAGAGATCAGCTCAGTACCATATGTTACAGAGTTTCAATGTAAATACACATTTGGTATATGTGTGCTGAAGGTTCTCCACTCCAGGGCAAGACATATGCTATCTTCAAACTTGACATGTCAAAAGCAGCTCTACCAGGTCACACATGCAGATTCAGAAACCCTTCTGGGGGAGAAGTTTATAGCATTTGTTACTGAGTCACTTCCTCCCTCATTATTGTCTTTTGACCCATTCAGCATTTTCAGCATGGGTGGGGGAACAGGGGAAAGGTAGGATTCCACATCCAGACTCCAGTTTCAAACTTGGCAGTTTCATTATAACTGCTATGAGAAGAAATCATAGTAAGAGGAGGAGGGATCAGTACCTTTAGATCTTTGAAAAGGAGGAGATTGATGGAACGTTATAGCAAAGGTTTCGAAGTACAAAGCTCTCAATTTTGACCAAGTTTTTGAAAGCTAAAAAGTATGTGACTCCATTTTTGGGCAAAATTGTTTTCTCTTAATATTTACTTATTTTTTAAAGATTTATTTATTTTAAAGAAAGAAAAAGCACGCATGTGCAAGGTGGGGAGGGATAGAGAGGGAGAAAAACTTTAGCAGACTCAATGTTCAGTGCAGAGCCTGACGCAGGGCTCGATCCCACAACCCCAAGATCACGACCTGGGAGGAAACCAAGAGTCCAGCAGTACCATCCAGGCATCCCTGTTCTGTCTTAATATTTATTTAGATGTATTCCAGGGGAGCCTGTGTGGCACAGTTGGTTAAACATACAACTGCTGGTTTTGGCTCAGGTCATGATCTCAGGGTTGTGAGATTGAGCCCTACTGTTGGGCTTTGTTCCCAGCACAGAGTCTGCTTGAGACTCTTTCTCCCTCTCCCTCTGCTCCTACCCGCTGCGCTCACGTGCACTACCCCCCAAATAAATAAATAAGTCTGAAAAAAAAAAAAAGCCTGGGGGCACCTGGGTGGTTCAGTCTGTTAAGCGTCTGCCTTTGACTCAGGTCATGATTGCCAGGATTGTGTTGGGGTGGGGGGGAATGGTTCCTGGATTGAGCCCTGCATCAGGCTCCTTGCCCATCTCCCTCTGCCTGTTTCTCCCTCTCCCTGCTTCTTCCTCTCCCTCAGCCTGCTGCTCCCCCTGCTTGTGTTCTCTCTGTCAAATAAATAAAATCTTTTTTTTTTTTAAAGATTTTATTTATTTATTTGGCAGCCAGAGATCACAAGTAGGCAGAGAGGCAGGCAGAGAGAGAGGAAGAAGCAGGCTCCCCACTGAGCAGAGAGCCCGATGCGGGGCTCGATCCCAGGACCCCGAGATCATGACCTGAGCCGAAGGCAGCGGCTTAACCCACTGAGCCACCCAGGTGCCCCTGGTCTCCCCAAATATTTAGATGTCTTCTGATATTCTGTAGAAAATAAATTATTTCCTTTATTACTTCTACAGTCTTTTTTAAAAAAAAGACTTTATTTATTTATTTATTTATTTATTTGAGAGAGAAAGAGAGAGCACGAGGGCAGGATGAGGGGCAGAAGGAGAAGCAGACTCCCTGCTGAGCAGGGAGCCGCATGCGATGCAGGGCTTGATTCTGGGACTCTGGGATCGGGATCGTGACCGGAACCAAAGGCAGATGCTTAACCAACTGAGCCACCCAGCATCCGTATTACTTCTATAGTCTTGAGTGAATGGTATATATTAGTTTTTGTTTCTTCTTTACAATGCTGAAAATGAACATTCTCTGTTGTAAAGCACAATGAGAGAATGGATTTCTTTTTGTTTCCTACTATAGTTAAAAATACCCTGAGATCCCAAAATTTAATATTTTAATAATTACCACTCTTTTAGCCATATATTTTTATACTTTTCTTGCTTTAATTGTTAATTATTCCTAATTTGGTTTAACATATTAAAAGTAACTAATTAGAGATGTGTTATTCCAAGAAGGTGGTTTGGGGTGTGTGTATTTTCTGCCTTTTGCCTTCTTTTCTTTCTTCATATCATTTATATTTTAAATAGCTCTTAAATCATATTGAATTCTGTATGAGATAGAAGTGTAAACCTGATGCGTAGTGCTTCCCTGTTTGGATTTGATTTCTGTTTACAAATGATAATGTGTTTTTGAATTTTGTTTAAAGGAAGTATAACTGTTGTGATTGCCAACATTTCAAACAAATAGCTGGATTTATGATCATTCTTATTTCAAATTACTTTTAGAGTTTTTTAATTAAAAATATGAAATACTTAGCAGTGCATGATGATTAATACGTATTTTGATAATACATACTAAAAATGCACAGTTTTTGCCAATTTGCTCATTAGGTGCTTTGAATAGTTTATCTTCCATTTTAATATAACACCACTTACTTGGTTTTCTTTTTTCAAAGGTTATTTAAACATTAAAGGTTATTATTTAGAAGCTTTTTTTAAAGTTTTAGCATGCAAACAGAAAAATGTGTAATTTGTGAGTGTACAGGTTATAAATGAACACATCCATATAACCATAACCCACATCATGAAACAGGATATTATCAGCACCCCAGAAGCCCCACTCCTGCTGATCCCTAGTCATAAACCTCCCATTCCCAAAGGTACCACTGTCTAGACTTCCTAACATGATAGATTAGTTTTATCTGTGTTTGAATTTTTATATGCACTTTCATCTATTTTTGGCCTTTTCATCTCTGTTTGACTTTTTTAGGCAATAAAGAATTAAGAAAAATGTCAAATTAAGATGATGATGATGGCGGTGATGATGATTGCATGATGGAATAGGATAAGATGGGGGTTAAGAGAATGGCATAAGGACCAGAGAATTATTTTTATGCAATATTCTAACCACAATGTGGCAAATCCATGTTGTGGTTGATTATTTATTAGATATCATTGATAATACTGATATAAGGGAGCATATAATAAATCCCCTCTGCCCCCATTTTTTTTCTCTCAGATTAAGGGGATTTTGGTATAGGATTATTATAGGATGACTTTTTGTCTGAACTTTTTTGCATGTTTAATCCTACTGGACCCAGTGCCAGTGATTGCCAGTGATTCCTGTGCCTCCCTATCTTAATGCATGTATCCGTCAGGGATGCATGCCAAGTTCTCTTTAATTCTGGCATCAGGGCAGGCAAGTGGTGTATGAAACGGATTGCCCCCAGAAAGCAATGAAACTAGCAGAACTCTGCCCCCTGTTGCATGTGCCAGATGCTGTGATATTCACCATTAATTGAAGAGATCTTGAAAAAAAGACATCCGATGAGTGTATTTTGATTTCATCTGATACAGATTCTAAGAGAAGATCTTGTTTAGTGTCTGTAAAGATTGCTAAAGTGAGACCTATCTTTTTTCCCAATATTGTATGAAAAATTTCAAACATACAGAAAAGGTGAAAATATTTTACAGTGAACATCCACATACCCACTACCTAGGTTCTACCACTGTTATTTTACATGCTTGCTTTATCACTTACCTATCTGCCCTTCTATTGTTTCATCAGTTCATCTTAGTTTTACGTGTTGAAGTTATTGATGTTGGTACATTTCTCCTAAATACTTTAGCATGGATGTCATTAACTAGAGTTTAGTGTATTTTTTTTAATTTTTGAGGTGAGGTTTTTATACAGTGAAATGCATCATAAGTGTACATTTGCTGAGTTTCACAGAAAACTGTCTTTCTGAAAAGAAATAAGGCAGGGACTCTAAGGAAAAAGAAGGGGTGGAAGTCTGCAGCCTTTGCTGTGCTTGTGTAGCTTTTGGTGGGGACTGGAAGCTCTTGTGGGTTTTAGCTTGGTTCACCCCTAGTATTGGGGCCCATTCCTAACGTACATATGTGTATGTTGGTGAACTCTAGCTAGTGGCTTCTCTCAAATGAGAGTCTTTACCCCAACTATAGCATTGTTGCCAAATAGTGCAGTGGGGACAGTGGAACTGATCAGAGGGTGCATCTGCTTCTCTTAGCTATTTCCTTAGTTTCTCAATAAGAAAGTCATTCTCTGGAGAAGAATGGCAAACAAAACCCATTTTTTTTTTTAAGATTTTATTTATTTATTTCACAGAGAGAGAGATCACAAGTAGGCAGAGAGGCAGGCAGAGAGAGAGAGAGAGAGAGGAGGAAGCAGGTTCTCCGCTGAGCAGAGAGCCCGATGCGGGACTCGATCCCAGGACCCTGAGATCATGACCTGAGCCGAAGGCAGTGGCTTAACCCACTGAGCCACCCAGGCGCCCCCAAAACCTATTTTTTTATACCAATTTGCTCTAATATCACAGAGAGACTTTTTCATACTGATTTATTTTATAAAATAGGGTATCAGATGAATGCGTCGTCTTGGCCAATGTTCCTCTTACGAACACTGAATGGATCTGAAATGGCACCTGCAACAATCTTTAAGAAGGTAAGAAAGATACAAAAATCTTCCATCACCTGGGCTGTAGCTTTATTGTTTTAATGGGGGCACTTAAACGTTTTATCTTCTTGGATATGGAAAAAAAATTCTTTTTAAATTACTGGATTGACACGTGTGTTAATCTGCTAGAGCTGCCCTAACAAAGTACCATGGACTGGGTGGCTTAAACAATAGAAATTTATTTTTTTCACAATTCTGGGAGCTAGAAGTCCAAAATCAAAGTGCCATCAGGGCTGGTTTCTAGTGAGGCCTCTTTCCTCAGCTTATAGATGGCCACCTTTTTGCTGTGTCCTCACATGGCCTCTTCTCCGTGCCTGTGGGGAAGGAGAGGTATCTCTGGTTTCTCTTCCTCTTATAAGGACACCAGTCCTTTTGGGTTAGGGCTCCACCCATATGACCTTACTAATTAACCTTTGTTATCTCTTTAAAGGCCCTATCTCTGAATACAGTAACATTGGGGATTAGGGCTTCAATTTATGAATTTGGGAGGACATCATTCAGTTCATTACAGTGACTTAAACAACAGAAATTTATTTTCTTACAGCTCTGGATGCTAGAAGTCCAAGATCAAGGTATCAGCGGGCTTGGTTTCTTTTGAGGCTTCTCTCCTTGACTTGTAAATAAATGGCTGTCTTCTCTTCCTGTCTTCACATGATCTGTGTGTCTGTGTCCTCCTTTTCTCCTCTTATGAGGATACCAGTCATTGGATTAGGGCCCACCCTAATGACCTCATCTTAACTTAATTACCTCTTTAAAGACCCTGTCTCCAATGAAATCACATTCTGAGGTACTGGGGTTAGGATTTAAACATGATTTTGGCAGGGGTGGGGACACAATTCAGCCCATAACAGCAAGTCATAAAAAAGTCTCAATTAGAATCACCCACTAGTCAAAATGAATTTGTATCCACTTTCTTCACCTTAGATATGAAAGGAGTGCTCTACTGGAAGCAAATGTTCATTGCTATTTATTTACCTTCAGAAGTGAAGCTTCCTCTCACTTTGCTGTATTAGTCATCCTTCGACACTGGAGAAATGATGATGGGCCAGAAAACCACTTGAAAGTTACTTAGAGAGATTTGGTTTCAGAAGTAAAAGAATGTTAAAAACAGTCATCAGAAAGAATTTGTTATAGGGAAATATTTGTTATATAACAAAGAGGGAAAATTCCAAAGATAGTTTATGCTCTTGAGAAAATGTTGAAAGAGTACACTATGTTAAGAAACAGTGAATAATAGCCAAGTTTTAGTTAAATTATGGGTCAAAATATTTCTTTCTCACCCTCTGTCCTGATTCTTTTTTCAGTCACTTAAATTTTATTACAGTTATTCATGTCAAGAATGGTAAATATTGTAGTTTTTTCTTTAAAAAGGATTCAACAATTCTGTACATTTCTCAGTGCTTATCTCAAGGTAAGTGGACTCTTAATCCCCTTTATCTATTTTACCCCTCTCCCCGCTCACCTCCCTCTGGCAACTACCAGTTTGTCCTCTATTTAAGAGTCTGGTTTTTTGTCTCTTTTTTCTTTGTTTTGTTTCTTAAATTCCCCATGAGTGAAATCATATGGTATTTATCTTTCTCTGACTTATTTCACTTAGCATTTTACTTTAGCTCCATCTATGTTGTTGCAAATGGCAAGATCTCTTTCTTTTTCATGGCTCATATTCCGTTGTATATATATGTGTATGTACCACATCTTTATCCATTCCTTTATGGATGGACACTTAGATTGCTTGCATATCTTGGCTATTGTATATAATACTGCAGTAAACATAGAAGTGCATTTATCTTATCAAATTAGTGTTTTCATTTCCTTTGCATAAATACCCAGTAGTGGAATTACTGGATCATAGGGTAATTCTTCTATTTTTAATTTCTTGAGGAAACTCTGTACTGTTTTCCGCAGTGGCTGCACCAGTTTGCATTCCCACCAACAGTGCACCAGAGTTCCCTTTTCTCCATATCCTCACCAACCTTTGTTATTTTTTATCTTTTTGATTTTAGCCATTTCAGCAGGTGTGAAGTGGTATCTCACTGTGGCTTTGATTTGCATTTCCCTGATGATAAGATGTTGAGCATGTTTTCATGTGTTTTTTGGCCATCTGGATGTCTTCTTTGGAAAAATGTCTGTTCAGGTCCTCTGCCCATTTTTTAATCAGATTATTTGTTTTTTTTGGTGTCAAGTTCTATTAAATTTTTTGTATATTTTGAATATTAACCCCTTATCAGATATATCATTTGCAGATATCTTCTCCCCTTCAGTAAGTTGCCTTTTTGTTTTGTTGATGGTTTCCTTTGCAGTGCAAAAGTTTTTACTTTGGTATAGTCCCAGTAGTTTAATTTTGTTTCCCTTGTCGGAGGAGGCATATAAAAAAGTAGAAAGATGGAAAAACAGAAACACATAGAAAAATATTTCTATGGCCAGTGTCAAAGAAATTACTGCCTTTGTTTTCTTCTAAGAATTTTATGGTTTCTGTTCTCACATTTAGGTTTTTTGTTTTTGTTTTAAGATTTTATTTATTTATTTGAGAGAGAGAGCATGAACAGGGGCAGGGGCAGGGGCAGGGGGAGAAGCAGACTCCTTGCTGAGCAGGGAGCCAGACATGGGGCTTGATCCCGGGACTCCGGGATTATGACCTGAGCCAAAGGCAGATGCTTCACCGACTGAGCTGCCCAGGCACCCCCACATTTAGGTTTTTAATCCATTTCAAGTTTGTTTTTGTTTAACAAAGTGGTCTAGTTTTGTTGTTTCACATGTAGCTGTCCAAGTTTTCCAGCACCATTTGTTGAAGAGACTCTCTTTTCCTCATTGTTGTAAATCAGTTGACCATATAAGTGTGGGTTTATTTCTGGACTCTGTTCCATTGTTCTGTGTGTCTATTTTTGTGCCCATACTATACTATTTTGATTATTACAACTTTGTAGTATATCTTGAAATCTGGGATTGTGATACTTCCAGCTTTGTTCTTCTTTTTCAAGATTGTTTTGGCTAAGGTTTTAAAAGTTTTTGGAGAACCTTAAAGACATAAGGATGTAAAACATCAATTAATATGATTCTTGCATTGCGAAGAAAAATACTTTGAGTGCTGCTTTGAGTAGTAAGAGTGCCTGAAAGTGGGTTAGCCCTACCACCTCCCAGTAGGGACACAGGCCCTTTGGGCAGTGTGTAAAGCATATGTGAGAAAAGTAACAAAAAAAAGAGATGTTTAGTAGTAGTCTTTATTAAACACTACTAGCTTGGGCTGTGACTTTAGAAAAGCCATCAGACTTACTTTACTTATTATCAGATTGCTTTATTAGCTAGTTACATGCCACATGTCACACACATTATATCTTTCATTTTTAAAATTATGAAAGTAATTCGTGTTTGGAGAGGGGATATCAAAATACATACTTAGCTAGACTAAAGAATGCATGTCTTTTTATCCATCCCATCTTTTCCTCCTTTCCAACCTTTTCTCTCCAAATAGAAGTTTTCTTTGTGTTCTCTCAGACTTTTTTTCTGTGCACTCACAAACATATATGGGCTTTTATTTTTTTAAACATAAACTTGAATATATTGTGAATAGTGTTCTGTGATTTATTCTTACCCATAAAATATGTATATTCTAGAAGTCTTTTCATTTTGCTTCGTATATGTTTAGGTTGTATTTTACTATTCTGTGGTATAGATTACCATAATTGGTTTACTCTGTCCCTAAGGATGGATGTTTAGGTTGTGTCCATATTCTTGTTTAAGTCATCTGTAGTATAGAGCTTTCTGGGTAAGTGTGAAGGCTACATTTTTAGAAGTAGAATTATTGGTTCAAAGGGAATATGTGCTTTAAGTGTTGATATATACTATTAAATTGCATCCCTAAAGGATGTTTCAAGCTATGCTCCACTATTATTGTATAGATGTTTCTATTTCCACACCTTCACTAGCATCGAGTATCATCCATCTTTAAAAATTTTATGTATCTTTTTTGGGGGGAACTGGGGTGGGTGGGGATGGTATCTCATTGCTCTCATTTACACTGAACCAATTACCAGTGAAACTGAGCTTTTGAAATGTGTTTAATGGCCTTTTATTTTTCTGTGAATTACTTGATTATAGCCTTTGCCTGTTTTTCTGTTGGATTTCTGTTCTTACTCATTGATTTGTGGATGCCCTTTCAGCCAAGCTTGAAACTTTGCCAAGAGCCATCTTAAATCACCACTCTTTCTTGACCCTGGCCTCTGAAAAGCCATTTAATTAGGAAGGCCCACCCACTTAGCTTCCTAATTATTTTTTTTCTTCTGTCTCTTTCTAACCTTACTACCATTGCCCCTTGTGCAGGCTTTCCTCTTGCCTGAACGGTTCAGCTAGCCTTATAACTGCCTCTAACCTTCACCCTTCCACACAACTGCCAGAAATATCTAATATAGGAGCCTTAACCACATCATTTCTTGCTTAAAACTCTTGAAGTTACCAGTTGCATTCAGGATGAAGTGTAAGTTTGTTACCTTTAAGGTTCTGTATGATCTGGATTATGGTGGCCACTCCTTGCTTTATATTTTATGTTTTAAATTGCTTCTGATAGCCTGTCAATACGATGTTCCTTTTTAGAGCTGGTTATCTCTGGTTAGGGCTAAGATTCTAGTTAGGCATTAAATCCTCCAATGTCTCTTCCCTAATTCTCCCTTTGTATTCTTATACTTCTTTAGCACCTTGTGCATATCTCAATCTTTATAGGAATTGGATTACATTATTATTTTCATTGTCTCTTCCTAGACTGTGAGTTCCTTTTGAACAGTTAACTGTCTTTGTATTCTCAGTGTCTCTCGTAGGTCCTGGTACATACTTGTTTGGTAAATGAAGAAAGATGTAGAATATAGGAAGATGAATACACATAGAGGGAGAGAATGGGTTTTGTTTTGGACATGTCAGCGTACCTCTGGGAAATTTGAGGAGGGATGACTACTAGCAGACTGTTGGAAGTAAAGTGTTTAGAACTTAAAAACAAGGTT